CCCCCCCCCCCCCCCCTTTTACTTTTAGATTTTTCTTATACTTTAATTTAAGTTGGTTATCTGATATGGGTAAATCCCTTCCTTCTGATCTTTCAGAAGCTTATGATTCGCTCGATCCAAATGGAAATATAACCATTAAATGGGATATCATGCAATGGACTCCAGATGGATATGTTGTAAGTGTAATCTCTTGCATGTTACTGAAATCAATGCTCTGTGTGTTGTCCAATAATTGGTTTTGTAAAACTATGTAATTTCATCAATTTTATGAACTCTATTAGGCTGTTGTTACTATGTACAACTATCAACAATATCGTCACATACAAGCACCGGGATGGACACTAGGATGGACATGGGCAAAGAAGGAGGTGATCTGGTCAATGGTTGGGGCTCAAACTACAGAGCAGGGGGATTGCTCAAAGTACAAGGGCAACATCCCTCATTGCTGCAAGAAGGATCCCACGGTCGTCGATCTCCTTCCTGGGACTCCATATAACATGCAGATTGCAAATTGTTGCAAAGGTGGAGTCATTAATTCGTGGGCACAGGACCCCACAAATTTTGCAAGTTCTTTCCAGGTCAGTGTGGGTGCGGCTGGCACCACAAACAAGACGGTCCGTGTGCCAAAGAATTTCACACTTAAAGCCCCTGGGCCTGGCTATACTTGTGGTATTGCTAAGATCGTGAAACCTAGTAAATTTACTTCACAAGATGGGAGGAGAACAACCCAGGCCCTGAGTAAGTGATCTAACAAAGTTTTTCTTGAGTTTAATATTTCACATTGATCGTAGTTCTATTCTGAAGCAGGTTCTTATACTGTATAGTGCACTTGAGCCGAATTCAGAAGTGATGATGTTGCGCTAATACATGTAATCAATGCTCAGTAACATAGAAGAACTTTTGAAATAAAATGTTTTCAAAAAGTCTTCTACACCATTTTGTTTGTTAGGAAAATGAATTTATTTTTAGCCCTGAAACAGGATGGCTGTAATTTGTGCGAGTTTCAGTTGTTTTCCCTTTTTTTCCTTCACGGGAACTCATGAATTTACCCTAGGAGTCACACATATAATGCTGGACAAGTCCATAGACCATTTAGATTCTCATGGGAATATCTTGGTGCAATTCATGCTATCCATGCTTTTCGTGAACGTATGAACATCATACCATTTCCGCCTTATATTAAATGTCGTTTCAACAAGCAGGCCAAACTTCTTTGAATGTACTAGATGGTTTTATTTTTTTCAAGAATCTTTTGGTTGATATCAAGCAGTAAATGACTTTCATACTGGCTGGATCATAAGTCCAATGTATGGCAACAACTTCTGACACTAAAAAAAAATTTGTAAAATATGCATCTTGATGTTCTAATAAAATGGGCTCTGATTTTGGTTATCTAAGTGAAAGGGCATAGGTATGCTTAAAGGTTTACTACTTTTTTTTTGTGCGTGTGCTTTCGCGTGTGCGAGGATCCCAATCATTTCCTGACATCATGAATCTCCTAGTCACAGAATAAAATTTCCCAATTATTTACATGCAGATGGCTTTGGGGAAGTCTCAATTTGAACGTAATTTTCTAATAACGAAAAACGTGATTTTAGACCAAACATAATCCAAATGCAGCTTAAATGTTGTTGTTGTTGTTTGTTTTACAATTATTCGTATAAAATGATTTCATTAATTTTAATAAGGAAGAGAATTCATGGAGAACCATGATTCTTTTATGTGCAAGTTTGTTAGGGATAAGGGCTCTCAAAATTTGCTTCCACACTTGCATGTTTATTATGTTGTCTTGAATATAAAATTGGAATGAAATTCCTTGCTTAATAATCATTTCCATCTTCATGTAGTGACGTGGAATGTTACATGTACATACTCCCAATTTCTCTCTCAGAAGACTCCCACATGTTGCGTCTCTCTTTCATCTTTCTATAATGATACTATTGTCAACTGCCCAACATGCACTTGTGGATGCCAAAATAATATAACTCAACCTGGAAGCTGTGTAGAGTGAGTTCTTATGTTCGTCTTTCATTTTTTAGTTTCTTGCAATAGGTCTATATTAGTTTGGTATTAATATTTTATTTTATGTTTATACAGGGGAGATTCACCTTATTTGGCATCTGCTGTTAATGGCCCGGGCAAGAGCACATTCACACCTTTGGTTCAATGCACTTCTCATATGTGTCCAATAAGAGTGCATTGGCATGTCAAGCTCAACTATAAAGACTATTGGAGAGTGAAGGTAACGATAACGAATTTCAACTATCGGATGAATTACACACAATGGAACTTAGTGGTGCAGCACCCGAATTTTGACAATCTGACTACAATATTCAGTTTCAACTACAAGTCCTTGAACCCTTATTCGGCTATAAGTAAGTCAAAACTTATAAATATTGTTTTTTAATATTGCAGATCCCACACCTAAAACCGAAACCCCAGTTTTTGAATATCTATTTTATGTTCTTGTCTATGTTTTGCTCACGTGAAATATGATTTTAATTATTTTTCATAACCTCTATTTGGTTTGATTCCTCAGATGATACCGCAATGCTATGGGGAGTTAAATTCTACAATGATTTGCTCATGGAAGCGGGCCCTTATGGAAATGTGCAGTCCGAACTTCTCTTCCGTAAGGACCAATCAACCTTCACTTTCGACAAGGGATGGGCTTTCCCTCGTCGTATATACTTCAATGGTGATAATTGTGTGATGCCCCCTCCTGATGCATATCCATGGCTACCCAATGCTAGCCCTCATTCTGTAACTCCCCTCTCTCTACCAATAGTGGTCTTTTGTGCAATTTTGTCTTGTTTACTACTTTAGGCAAGCAACATACTCTAGCGTATTGCAAAATTTTGGATGATTTGCCTAAGATTATGGAGACATGCATCACAATGTTAAGGGACCAGATGTCATGCTACTGAAGCTAGTTCATGTGTCTTATTCCATTCTGAACTGGTCAAATCAGAGTTATGTATGTTCATGTTTTATCTTGCTGTAATGCATTGCCATCAATATATATAGCCAAGTTGATTGTTTTTTTTGGGACCTTCGCTCGACTCCAGCGGCGGCGCCAACTGGCGCCGTCAACTAACGGTTTTCTTCCTTCGGTGTTGTGAGTTTCAAAGCCTTGTCATTTATTTTCTCATAAAGACACGCAAACACGGGAAAATAATTGAGTTCTCATACTTCATGAATTATTGTTTCTTTAAATTGACACCTTAAATAGTTTAAGGCTAGATGAGCTGGTATATTTCTGATATATATATCACAGATGATGAGTTTACTGATCTGATATCTTAGATATTTTTTCTATAAATTCTCAAGAGGGGAAGAGACATCCTCTACGACTGATATTAGCAGCAATTCGTCATCAGAGGATGCCCATCTCAAAATTATCAGAAGTTGTGTTAAATTATGTAACATAAAGTAATAATCGTAAGCAGGAATTTGTTTGTTTGTTGAAAGTGTATCCTAAGCTCAATTGTAGCATTTTCTTCTTGTAAATACTCATCATATTAAACTCTAGTAAAGTGTATCTCAAGTTCAATCGTAGCATTTTCTTTTTGCAAATACTCGTCATATTGAACTCTAGTGTTGTTTTTCCCCCTCTTTAAGTTATTGTGAACATAATGCAAGCACTGGTTATATGCAACTTTACAGCTGAAAACATTGATGAGGTACAAATATTGATTAAATTTGTGTGCTTATAAGTGATGATCCAGGTCACACAACCATTTAAATGAAGTGTATCACTAGGATGGTAAGTTGTTTTTAAGTAGCACTCCCTTATTTCTCCTGGTCTAGGGAGCTAAAGAAAAGTTTAGAAGATGGTTAGATTTTGTAGAGAAAATTGCAGACATAAGATTATTCTGGAACGAAAATTTGAGAAACATAATTCGGATTGTGTTTTTCTAAAACCCAGTTCTTTAGGTTTCAACAACAGAAAATTATTTAAATCAAGTTTCACCTTTTGTTGTTATGTACAAAGCAATTTGATGCTAAACTTACATATGAGCATGATACTATAACAATTTGATCCTAATCCTACATATGAGCATGATACTTTCTTTTAGAAAAGAAATGATGAAGGTTAATCTTGTTCTCAGTTTGCGCTGAAGAAATAGGGATAAGAGGATTTTCAGCCAAAAAAAAGCCCAAGAGAACCATTCCAGGACAAATGCTCAGCTTGAACTGCTTAAACATGAAGCTTACTATTAATATCCATTCTATTAGCAAAATCTCAAACACACACCATAAATCCAATTAATATCTACATTGCCCCCTCAAAAAAAATTGAACAGACTCTCCATCTCAACAGTGTCTACCAGAATACAGTTAGCATCAGGAACATCACTGAGGCAGCAAATGAAGGTATTATGGCACTTACAGGAGCAGAATTAGGAAGATGAGGGTAATTTTCAGGTGACGGCAGCATGCACTCGTCCCCGTTGAAGTATACTTTCCTCGGAAATGCCCATCCTTTCTTCAGCGTGAACGTATCCTGATCCTTCTGCATCAGCACCTCCGACTGCACATTTCCAAAAGCTCCTGCCTCCATCAGAAGATCATTGTAGTACTTCATTCCATAGAACATCCCGGTATCATCTGCAATATGTCCATTTTAAGTTTTATTTGAAACATTCATAATTCATGAGGGATCGCCACAAATTTGAACTTACTGATGGACTGGTAAGGCAGAAGAGGCTTGTAATCGAAGCTGAAGACCTCGGTGACATTGTTCAAGTTCGGATGCTGGACTACAAGGGTCCATTGGGTGTAGTTGAGGCGATAGTTGAAGTTTGTGATGGCAACCTTTACACGCCAGTATTCTTTGTAATTGATCTTCACATGCCAGTGCACGCGGATAGGGCACATATGATTGGTGCATTGCAGAAGTGGTGAATTGTCCTTCCTCGGGGTGTTTACCCCTCTCACACTCAGGAGCTTTGAGTCGCTACTGCAATTTTCGACATTTCAAACATCAATTCAACTCTGTTGTTTATATATTCAGCAAATGAGAAATCATAGGAAGTTTGGCCTACTCGATGCAATTCTTGTGCTGGCAGCCACAAGCGCATTTTGGGCATGGAGTGATGGTCTCGTTGTAGAAGGACGAGAAGGAGACGCAGCAGCTAGGGTTCTTGGATGCCAGAAATTGCGAATATGTGCATGTTACGTTCCATGTCACTGCACAGGCGTAAAGTGTCAACTCCTCACTGTTCAAATTTCATAACGAGCACAAAAGCGATGATCATACTGCACTTACTGAGCGCTTGGGTTTTCCTACGGCGGTCTGGTGTCAGAAACGTGGTCGAGGGGACCACCTTGGCGGGACCGCAAGTGTAGCCTGGGCCAGGACCGAGCAAAGTGAAGTTCTTGGGTAGCTTGACGGTTTTGTTGGAAGTGCCTGCAAGGCCGACGCTGACCTGGAAGGCTGAGACGGAGGCGGAGGGGTCCTGTCCATAGGCACCGATGACGCCGCCTTTGCAGCAGTTGGCAATCTGCTGGTTGTAGGGAACACCGGGGAGGAGGTCGACGACGCTAGGATTTCTCCGGCAGCAGTGCGGGATGTTGCCCTTGAACTTGGAGCAGTCTCCTTGGTCTGTGGTTTGAGCGCCCACCATGGACCATATAACCTCTTTCTTAGCCCATGTCCAACCCAATGTCCACCCTGGGCTCATTATGTGCCGGTACATTTGGAAGTTGTTCATCGTCACCACCGCCTGGATTATAAGTTTATGTGAGTTGCCTAGTATCCGAGACTTTTTCCATTCAACTTTTTAACCCTTCGTTAGCTGAACATTTTAACAATTAGATGGGATAGATCAAGATTTTAATGAGACGCAATTTCAGTTGTAACTGTTTGTTTTATTTAATTAATTAGACTTGCATAATGCCATACAATTATTGAAAAAATAATGATTTATTTATTTATTTTTAAGACAAGCATGATATGTGTGTATGTATGTATATGAGTTTTAATGGCTGTGAGGTGGCGGCTCATTTAGCAAAATGAGCTACTAAGAATAAAGCTGTGACTCTCACAACTTTTGATGTGACAACTAGGATGGGCCTCATCACATGTGTATCTCTTGGTATATATATAAAGTAAGCTTGCACAAAAAAAAAAAAACGCCTCCTTTAGTGTGCACGACTCATGCCTTACCAAAAAAACCAAAAACCCTAGAAATAGGACCAAAAACGCCTCCTTTGGTGTACAACCAAACTTACTGTTAACTCTTCATGCATATTTGTAACTAGATACATACATCCATTTCTAAATATTTAGATCAGTATTTGCAACATACCAATTTTATCCTACATTAATATTTTCAGCACTGATCGTTATACACAAAACTTAAGCAATCAAATTTCTAGCTAACAAAATAATAGAAAAGAGCCGATCATTTTCAACTTTAAATTTTAACAAACTAGAATCAATCACTCATCCTGGAACATGAAACAATCAAAATATAAAAAAGAGGGAAATATGATCATCATACTGACCACATAACCGTCTGGGGTCCAAGACATTACATCCCATTTTATCGTTATATTGCCTGTCGGGTCCAATGGATCATATGCCACTGTTTCAGATGCCGAACAACGTTAGCACAAAATCGAAAATTTTCAAGAAACTCACATCACAAAAGCATTTATAAAAAAAAAACCTGCACTATGAAACATCATAACGGCAACTAAGACTGAGATCGCAGATCTTAATTCACTGAACAAGCGAGACAAACATGCATCTCCATGATTCTTGTTGTTCATCTCCATCTTTATTGGTAGAAGAAGTTCAGGAGCTCTTGTGAGTGGAGGAGAATGAAAATGGTTATGGTTCTTTATGGAGAGATGTGAAGGAGAAATTTCCAATTTGAGAGATCTCTCACCGACAGGTTTCAGTTAGGTGCATTAGATGACTTACAGAGACATCTTCCTTATATCTTAATTCTCCTTCGGCGAAGCAAAGCGTTTGGTGAGGAAACGGGAGGAAGAAAAAGACCCGGGAGATTTTGAAAATCATGTTCCAACAGTCCGCAGATTTTTAAACAAACATATATTGTGAAATCTCCATAATACCCATTATTCTTATTTACCAAAGCCTAGCTTCAGAGCTCACCAACCCGAAAACCTCCAGGGCAGTTTGGCCATAAAAGTTCGAGTGAGGCCCAAATCTTAATCCAGATGGAGAAATGATCATAAGAAGAGCTTTTCATACACATTTTTAGAAAGACAGGTGAGTTGGCAGCAAGTAAACAGTCCCCATCTGAGAATTACTTCTCAGCTGAGATTCATACAGAGGACGGCGGCCAGTATAGGTTCTTTTTCTTATTTTTATTTTATTTTAGAAAGTCAAAAGTATCTCGTATAATGAAAACTATTAGCATCTCATTGTAGTTCTCTATAAGGTTACAAATATATTCCTACATCAATGTCTCCTTAAGATTCAATAAATACTGCTTGTTTTATGTTAGTATTTAATCGCCTCATATTATTGACAGAAATCTCAGTAATTTAGTGGGGTAGATATATGAGAGACGATGCTATGTAATTGAGCAAAGATGATGATCCTTATGATGTCCGATTGAACGACCCAACTTTAAAATGTCGTAGAATTTCAGAGTTTTTTATGTAGAATTTATCGGCTTTGTGCTTAAAATATGTTCTTTACACAGTATCTAAGATATTTCTATCAGTCTGAAGTGTATTGACATCTAGAAATCCATAGTAGCGATGCATAATATTCAGTGAAATATCTTAAATCCCTAGTATTCAGCAACTAAATTGAATTCAAATGCATAACTAAAACATTTTCATCACATATAAGGAGCAACCATGAGCGGGAATGGGGAGAAAAAAAATTCTGTACTCTTATTGCTGTTGTGCCTCGAGAAACCAAAACAATCGCCGAGAAAGATAAACAACCAACCAAAATCAACAGCACAAACAACCAAACACCTGTTTTACGTGGTTCGGCAAGATGCCTACATCCACGGGGCAAGGAGGGGGGAGTTTTCACTATTAGAAATCAAGAGGAACAAACTAGGGTTACAAATCTCTCATAAACCCTCAACAATCAACTCTCAATCTCTCCAATTGCTCCTAGAATAGAAGCCCAAAGAAAACTCTCTCAATCTGCTCAAATTCGTCCTTGCACTTACCCTAAAAAAACACCCAATGGGTATTTATACAAATTCAAAACGAAGCGGGTCTGAAAACAGGCCCAACTCAAAACCGCAGCGGCGGTCGACCGGACCGGTCGACCGCCCTCCATCCAGCAGCAAACCCAATGTCCAGAGAGGTCGTCGGTCGACCGACACGGTCGACCGCCCATAGATTCGGTCGACCGGATCGGTCGACCGCCACCAATCCTGAAGCCCAATAACTCCTGTGCACGAATGCGGTCGACCGGGCCGGTCGACCGCCACCCAATTCTGCTGAAAACCCAAACTTTCTACCAATTCTACAAATCTCCACCTCAGCGAAGATTCTACCAAAACTGAGCCGACACCGATCAAACCAATACCTCAACTGTTGCACCCAGTATGCCATGGCAACGGACTCATGACAACGGACTCCAATCGCAACACGTCGAGATCCAAACGGGAGTGCGAACACTCAACCCCAAACCAACTGTGTCTACTCACCAAACAACTGAGCCTACACCGACTACACCAAATGCCTCACTTGCTGAGACCCAAATGGGAGTGCGAACACTCTCCCCAAATGTCGATGTCGCTCACCAAATCGGCTGCATCATAAAGACTGCCTACGTATCCTCTTGCCCAAGGAATCAAACCTTCACGTAGTTCACCATATGGGCCTCCAAAGGCCCTCAATCCAACCTGCGGCTGATAGCATCATCAACGACCCCAATCTGAAAACAGTCCAACACCTCCACCTGAGATGTAACAATGGCCGTATCCAAAACATATCCATCAGCTGCATCCAAATCAACTACCTCATCATCTGCACCCATAAATAAATGACTCCCACACTGTGCCACCTCAGCTGGAATCCCAACCAATGCAGAATGACCTGGAGTATGTGAGGAAATCCTCACCCAATGTGGAGTAGCATCAACCTCCACCCGCTGCGATATCCCTCTGACCTGATCAATACTCTCCACCTGCCGAGAGTCCAAAGTGACAAACCTGCTCAGACCAAACTCAGAAGCTCCCAACTGATAGCCAAAAGAACTCCTGAATCCCAACTGCGCAATCGGATCCAACCTCACACTCCTCCAGAAAAGAACGGCTCACTAAATCCGCCATCTCATCACGTCGCCCCACTGTCTCCTTCCCTCTGAAGTGTCTCCAACTGCCGTGAGCTCGGCACCAATGCAAGAAAGGACTCCTACTAGAATAAGTACGACTGGTAACCTTTCTGCCCATACACCTCCTCCAACTGTTGCGGACTACTAGGTCTTTATACCAACGGGACTTGGTTGCAACCCAAATATGCCTAGTACAATCCCCAACATAGGAAACAAAATAACGATTACCTCCCGATGATGCCTCCTCGGAAAGCCCCCAAATGCCTGACTGAACACCTCCAATAAGACCTCTCGATCGATGGATAGAAGTGCTGAACTCCACCTCGGTCTTCTTGCTCATACCAATGTGCTCACAGGACTTCAATCTGCAGGTCATAGCACTCCTCAACAATCTGTGCACGGTATAACCAACAATATATCCCAGCACCAAACAATGCCACAGTCTAGCCATAGAAGTAGTCAGCGCCCTATCAACTACCGTGCTCCCAAGTAGATAATACAAGTTACTCCGCCTGACTCCCTTCATCACAATTATGGACCCCGATGTGACCTTCAAGCGAGAATCCGCCAAGATCACCCTATAGCCTGATGCCTCCAATACCCCAAGTGAAATGATGTTCTTCCTCAGTTGAGGAACGAACCTCACATCAGCCAACTCCCGGATCATCCCGTCACTCATCCGAATCCGAACGGTACCAATACCACCAATAGGGCATCTGTGATCATTACCCATGAGAACAGCATCCCCTCTTTCCAACTCCTGAAAGCTGGAGAACCAATCCCTTCTAGGGCATATGTGGTAAGTAGCACCAGAATCCAACATCCACTCGGTGGAGTCGGCAACATCAACTGACGGAAGAGCTGGGCACGAATAGCCCGAAGAATCTGAATCTGAATCTGAAACATCGCCACTAGCCTTGGCAATATTCACCTCTGAAGCTTGAATAGCTTTCCCTTTATTCTTCACAGCTTGCAATTTTGGGCATTCGGCTTTCCAATGTCCATCCTCTCTACAAAAGGCACACTGATTCCTACCAACTGCAGGATGCCCCACTCTAGACTGCGACCTTCTTCCACGGTTTGGACTTCTAGCTCTTGCAACCAATGCACCAGCAACCGGCTCGATGCAAGTCTCCTTGTCCTTCTTTCGAAGTTGATAATTCACAAGGGCTGCGGTGACCTCACTATACGAAAGTGATGCCTTTCCATTAATAAGAGTGAGGACGAAGGTCTCATATTCCTCGTCGGGCAAGGAACTCAATAACAACAATGCCTTGTCCTCGTCTTCAACCTTGACATCTACATTCGCCAAATCTGCAAGTAGCTTCGTGTAGTGGTTCATGTGATCACTAATGGATGTCCCCTTCTTCAATTGGAAGCGATAAAGCCTCCTCTTCAAATGCAAACGATTTTCGATGCTCTTCGTCAAATATTTGCCCTCTAGGACCTCCCAAATCTTCTTTGCCGAAGTTTCATTCATCACATCATATTTAAGGTCTTGGGTAAGGTAAGACCTAATCACACCACACGCCGTTCTATTCATTTTATTGCAAACCTTTTCATCAATGTCGGCCGGTTTCCCGTCCAACTCCAATGTATCTTCCAAATTTTGCACATTTAGCGCATCCATGACTTCGCATCGCCAAAGTCCAAAATTATTTGTGCCGTTGAACTTTTCCACATCTATTTTCATAGAATGTATATTCAAACTTTGGACGGCCTTCACACCAGAAGAACCCTCCCCACTTTTATCTTTTTCAGCCATATATCTCAAAGCACCACCAAACCAATGCGGAAACAAACGAGAAATAGATCCAAATTGAAAAAGACGAGATTTTTACTGAAAAGATCCCACCTTTATCACCAAACGAAGCCCTAGATGAACTTCCAAAGCGATCTACTCCTCCAAAATAGCCCAAGCGTAGCCCGGAGCTCTGATACCAATTGTTGTGCCTCGAGAAACCAAAACAATCGCCAAGAAAGATAAACAACCAACCAAAATCAACAGCACAAACAACCAAACACCAGTTTTACGTGGTTCGGCAAGATGCCTACGTCCACGGGGCAAGGAGGGGGGAGTTTTCACTATTAGAAATCAAGAGGAACAAACTAGGGTTACAAATCTCTCATAAACCCTCAACAATCAACTCTCAATCTCTCCAATTGCTCCTAGAATAGAAGCCCAAAGAAAACTCTCTCGACCGGTACGGTCGACCGCGATCCATCGCGGTCGACCGGACCGGTCGACCGCCCTCCATCCAGCAGCAAACCCAATGTCCAGAGAGGTCGTCGGTCGACCGACACGGTCGACCGCCCATAGATTCGGTCGACCGGATCAGTCGACCGCCACCAATCCTGAAGCCCAATAACTCCTGTGCACGAATGCGGTCGACCGGGCCGGTCGACCGCCACCCAATTCTGCTGAAAACCCGAACTTTCTGCCTATTCTACAATTGCATCTAAAGATTTCATTGTAATAGTAAAGGTAATGCTTTTCAAAGTTACAGGCTGGCTAACATTGACTAAGTAGCTAATTCTGGCATCGTACGCGCATCTTAAAAGAAGTCGATATCATGTGATGTGCATGGTGAGCCATCGAAATCTGTCATCTGCACGTCTGATAT